CGGGACCTCCCCAGGGACAGCTGTTACCCAGGGAAGATCCCCCTTTCCTCCCGGATGCAGCCCCCAGGCGCCCTGCAGGGCCTCTGCAGCAGTCCAGGTCCGGGGAGGGGGAAGCCATGTAAGCCAGCCCGACACCTGAGATTAAGATCTGAGCTCCCACGAGATGGATGAGTGTGGGGCTCCTGTTGGCGCCCTTCCTCCACTGCAGGCCTGGTGGGGTATCCATCACACGTCGGCTCTTGGGCAGGGAAGCATCCATCCGCCCCAGCACCCGTGTTTCTTTGTAATGCGATCAATTCTGTGCCTCTCTGCTGACAGGTGCCCAGCGGCTACATGTCACTGGGATGTGCTGAGGAGTGGCACACTGCCCGACCCTGCCTCGGGAGGTGATTCCCAGAATGTGGGCTGTTCCTCCCCCGTCTAGGACAGGAGGTGGCTGAGGTCCAGGCACCATGCTGTTGGTGATATGGCATGTGGTCAGGTGGGGGACTGGGCTGACGCCACAGAGCACCTAGACTCCCGTCCAGCAGGACTGAGCTGGGGCCATGGAGGGGGCCAGCCTGGGTCCAGGCCTGACCTTGAAGGCGAGGACTGAGCGAGGGCAGAGCAGATGCTGGGTCCTGCAGCCTGAGGTCAAAGAGAGGAAGCTGCCCAGGGCTATGATGACTGTAACCAGCTGCTGAGAAGACACAAATGTGGTCAGGCTGGGGGATGGCAGGGTCTGGAGCTACAGGCTGGGCAGTGCAGGAGGCACATGGTTGTCCCTGGGAGTGGAGGGCGGGAGTCACTCCTGACCTGCAGTGCCCTTTGTGCCCCTGGACCCTGGTGAGAGAGCAGCGCTGGGAAGGTCCCCACTAGGGCTGTGGTGGAGGGAGGGCACTCTGGTCCCTGAAATGGCAGGAGGCCCCAGAGTCTGGGTCCTGTTCCGTTTAACCTTGGGAAGGCTCAACCTCTGGCCTTTGACCCCTGACCCCGGCCACTGGCCTTCCCCACTGGTTCAGTGCTGTTGTTGAAATTACATTTGTTCTAAGTCTGTGGTACATACTGGCATGCATGGGAACCAGGTTAGGGAGCAGGACTGGTCGGCGTTATGGGGAGTTGCCCTGACTAGGCTGGTCTGTGTGAGGGCTGAGTGTGAAGTGGGCAGGATCGGGCTGGACTACAACATCCATCGGTTCTCATGGAAGACAGGGCTGGAAATAGAACTGACCTAGCAAGTGCAATGACCAGCATGTGCATAAGCTGATTGGGGCGACGGACGGTGCCGGACCCTGTACTGGCAAGCACACGCAAGAATCAGGTCTGGGATCACCTCAGAGGAAGTTTCTTTGGAGATTCCTCCAACTGAACTGCTGATCTCAGAACCCCAACCATGAAGAGACTATGTCAGCCAGTGGATTCAGAATAGATTTCCTTGTGAGTGGAACACGGAGATTGGCAGCAATTCAGAACTGTTGAACTATCAGAACTGCTTGAGCAGGACCCTCGGAGCGCGCCTCACATCGGGGACCTGGGATGGGTGGGAGGATGGTTGAGGCTTCTCCCTTTGTTTCTCCCCTGACCCCAGATATGGGGGGGGGGGGAATGATGATATTAGTGTGGAAACAATGATCTTACTCACTTTCCTATAGCCCTTGACCCTCTGTACCCTAATAACTAAGTAAGATTGTTTAAAAAAAAAAAGGAAATATCACCCTTTTCCTCCAACCATATCATTCGCAACTTCAATATCCCTGTTCATACTTAGCCTTACTTTTTACTATCCACCATGACATCTGCTGTTTTCCAAAAATTCTAAATAGAAGTGGCCATTACTTCAATTTAAAAAAAAAGAAAGAAATTATGTTTGTTCTGAATTTGGACCAGGCCCGGAACAGGGAATTCCAAGGCAGGTGCCAGCCAGGTGCCTGGTGGATTGGGTTGTACCCCATCCTTGGTCTCCCTGGGGGCTTCCTCGTCAGAGTCCCTGCAGCGGTGGCATCTGTGGGCTTGCCTGCCAGCCCCACGATGTGAGAGCAGGAAAGAGGCAGCTGCACCTGGGAACACCCTCTGTGAGCCTGGCCAGTGGAGGCCACACAGCCCACTGCACTCCGGCCTTGACCTTGCTGAGTGGGAGCCTGGGGCAGTACCTGGGACTGCTCGAAATGGAAGGGGCACTGACGTGTCCTCCAGAGCCCCTGATCTGCCTGTGTCCTAAGGAGGCGCCCTGGTCTGTGAGCGCTGCGTGCTCAGAGGGACCTGATCTGCAAGGTCGGGGTGCAGTCCCAGCACCCCCGGCACCCAGCTCTGGGAATCCTTGTTTCTCCAGGCATACATGTCAACTCCACCAGCATCCTATGAGCAGGCACCCGTTTCTGGGGGATTCCTGCTGGGCTCCAGTGAGTGGTTTTTCTGAAGTGAAGGTTGGTGGGGACAGGCAGAGCGGGCACTTGTAATCATGGGTGTCAAACACCAGGTGCCTGTCAGCTGCGGCTGGGGGGCACAGGGACCCACGTTTTCTCTGACAGAAATGAATTCTGAACTAAGTGTTCCCCAGCAGAAAGGCAAGTGCATCTATACACCCTGCACACGTCTGGTCCGAGCAGTCACCGGTGTGTCCCATGTGCAGCTTCCAGGTGGTGAGGTGGGAGGCTGTGGGGCCAGCTCTGTGCGAAGGGGAAGGCCAGCATGGGGCAGGTGGCAGCCAACCGGGCAGGGGAGAGGTTGCAGCTGCGGTGGCTGGGGGTGCGGGAGGTAGTTGGGACATGAGTGTATGGGTTAACACCACAGAGCAAACACTGGGGGCTCCTGTCAGGACCCTTGCCTCCCTGGGGTGCTCAGATGTGGCCAAGTGCTCCTAGGAATGGCTGTGTTGTCCTGGCCACTGCTCGGCATGCCTGATGGGTAACACAGCACAGTGTCAGAGTCCCGGCCACTTGGCTCTGACCCAGCGTCCTGTCCACTTGCGCCCCTGGAGGCAGCAGAGATGGCCCCAGTGCTGGGAGCCCTGCTACCCTGGTAAAGGCCCCCCAGCTATCACAGGCTAGTGGGGAGTGGGCCAGCAGATGGGAGTCTCTGTCTCAGCTTTCAAAATAAACAAAAATAAAAAAGAATTTAAAGAAAAATGTCCAGGTCTGAGATCCTCCCATCAAGAAGAATGGTGGGACAACGGCTGTTCCAGCTGGGGTTCAGGGGATGCCCAAGGTGTGTGCTGCATGGGGCCTGGGCCCTCGCTCCCCTCTGGCTGCTGCCCATCCATCTGCTTCTCGGACTCTGGGTGACTGCCAACTCACGAGCCCCTCGAGGGCAGGTGCTGCACCTGCGGCCACTCCACAGCGCACCCTGGGGACTGAAGAGAGGGCCCAGGCGGCTTCCTCCCACAGCACATGAGGAGCCACTGTGGAGAGCAGAGGCGCCAGGCAAGGCTGAGCAGGCAATGAGCCACCCAGCGTCCTGACATCCCCTGCCGAGATCATGGCCCCAGCTACAGCTCACCCAGCTCAGCCTACGGCGGCAATGGGCAAGGCCTGTGCTCAGTGGGGTGGCAGGGCGGCGGGAGCGGCCGTGGGCTGGGGGAAGACAGCAGCTCCAGGCCCTCCTCCCTCATTCTTTACTAGGCTGCGGGGACTACCACTGTGCTGCTCAGTAAGGCCTGAGTTTTTGAGCACTTTCTAGAACAAAGGCAGGACACACGCTGAGTGGCCAGCTCTCCCCATCAAGGTGGTTTCTGGGCCCTAGGAAGTGGCCTTCTGGAGGCTGTGTGCTCAGTGGCTGCAGTCACCTATAAATTACCGAGGCGACGGTGTCCTGTCAGCACCTGCTGATGGACGGCGTCTTCTCGCCATTACGGCCTTGTGACGGGTGGAAAATTAATTTAAGTGGTAGTTAATTTCTAATGAATTCCACCCAAGCGGCTAATACGGTCCCTCGGTGTTATGGTAACCTTCACGGATCATTGCATTATGTAAATAAATTCCACTTTATGCTGGTTTATTAAAAAAAAGTGAAGCCGGCTGGGGCTAGTCCCTGCACGCCATGTGGGGCTTCCCAGGGTGCCCCTGGTTCTGCTCAGCAGTGTGTGAACATGCGACCTGGCAGGGCTCGGCGCCAGACCCAGGCTCCAGGGGTCAACAGGAAGGAGTCCTGTGTGCGCTGGGCAGGGCCAGCACTGGGAGGCTCCACCTCGGTGACCTGCTCCCATGGACTCCTGCTGCTGGACCCTGTGCAGCTGTACTCTGATGCACACCCATCCTGGTGGCACTATCCCAGGCGTAGCTTCACCTGGGTTATTTACTTTTACTTTATTTAGAGCAGAGACAAAGCTCTTCCATCTGGTACTTTATTTCCAAATAGCGACAACAGCCAGAGCTGAGCTGATCTGAAGCCAGGAGCCAGGAGCTCTTCCAGGTCTCCCACACGGGTGTCCGCTCCAGGCTTTGGGCCGTCCTCCACTGCTTTCCCAGTTTAAAAGCAGGGAGTTGAACAGGTAGTGGAGTAGCTGGCCATTCAGGATGCCAGTGCCCAGAAGGCAGAAGATTAGCCAGTTGTGCCACAGCGTCGGGCCCTTCACCCCATTTTAGCTTGCCTTCCCAGGAGGACTGGGTTTGCCTAGGTGTCTGCCTGCATGCTCACATGTGTTTTTAAGGTCTTCCTCCAAGGCTATTTCCTGATGGCTGCCTTGGAGGTCCCTGTCTGGGATGTGAGTGGCTGGCTTTTCCACCACTGCCCCATTTGCACGCACTCTCCCTCACAGCTCTCCTTGCACTAACCCGGCCTCAGCTCTGCCCCTCGAGGAGCTGCGTGCAGCCCGACCCAGCGCTCCCGAGTTTGTGGCTCACGCTCACGGCTGCCCGCTTGCAGTCAACCCTGTACAACGTGGTGGAAGAGCGAGTGCCACCCCCAGAACTGGGAGATGAATCTCTTCCCGCAGCGTGGGCTTGGGGGGCGGACTGGGTGACGACCTCTCCCCATCCCATCGGTCACTCTTCCAATACGCGAAAACCAACGAGCTTCTTGTTTACAAAGGAGATTGGTTTTTATTTGAAAGGTGCAGTGACGGAGCCTGCGCCCGCGGAGCCGCCACTACATCTGCCGCTGCTTGTGGCGCGGGTTGCTCTTGCAATGCACGAACCAGCGGCCGCGCCGCTTCACCAGGCTGCAGTCCCGGCAGCGCTTCCGCAGCACGGCCTTGGTCTTGAAGCCCAGCGCGAGCTGCAGGCCGGCCGCCGGGCTCCCCGCCAGCAGCGCGGGCACGGGGACGCGCGGGGGGCGCAGCAGGCCCGCGCTCAGGCCCACGAGCGTCCGCACCAGGGAGGTGGCCATGGCGGGCGACCTGCGGACGGCGCACAGGGGGTCAGCGCGGCTCCCGGGGTCCCACAACGCCTCCCGCGAGCCCAGGGAACCCCGACACTGACCTGGAAAGCAGTGCAGCGTATGCCAGCCACGGGCCTCGCCACGCGCCTGCGCAGTGAGGCGAACCCGCGCCGACGCCAGGAAGGAAGATGGCGGCGCATCACGTGGTAGGGCGGGGCCCCTGCCAAGCAGTCTTTGGACAGGCTCGCCCTCTGTCATTGCGCAGGCGCACTACTTGCGCCTCGCTCCCGCCCCGCCTACTTAGAGCAAAATAAGCCCCAGAAACGCCGCGAGCCGTACGCATGCGTCGGCCGTCGGCGCTACGGCGCGCCGGGTCGAGGGTCACCTGTCAAGATGGCGGCAGCGTTGACCTTCCGCCGCCTGCTGTGGCTGCCCCGGGGCACGCGGGGATTCGGGGTGCGAGTGGCCCGCACCGGGGAGAAGATCACGCATACCGGTCAGGTATTGCCTCCTGGGGGTCCCGTAGGCCGAGCGTGGCTGTGCTGGGTGCGACGTGGTCGATGTGTTGGCGTCATCCCTCTCAGGTGTGCACTGTGTGTTGGCGTCATCCCTCTCAGGTGTGCATTGAGTGGATGCTATCCCCCTCAGGTGTGCATTGAGTGGGTGCCATCCCCCACAGGTGTGCGTTGAGTGGGTGCCATCCCCCTCAGGTGTGCATTGAGTGGGTGCCATCCCCCTCAGGTGTGCATTGAGTGGGTGCCCTCCCCCTCAGGTGTGCATTGAGTGGGTGCCCTCCCCCTCAGGTGTGCACTGTGTGTGGGCACCATCCCCCTCAGGTATGCCCAGATGTGTGAGTTTCGTCCTATCCACCATTCTGCCTGTTGTCCACCCAGGTTCAGGGGCTGGCACTGCTGGCCACGGCCTCGCCTTGGGCTTCTTAGGGTTCATGTGGCGCTCTGGGGACCTGTGGTTGGGATCCAGGTCACCCTCAGAGACTTTTGTCTGCATTGATGCCCACTCCTGTTCCCCCTAGGTGTATGATGACCAGGACTACAGGAGGATTCGGTTTGAGGGTCGCCAGAAAGAGGTGAGTGGATGGTTGGGCATGAGTGGGAGTGGAGCTGGGCATACATAACTACACCTCCCACACCAGGACTGCCTGCCCTGCCGGCCTGTGGGTTCTTCTTGCTCTAACCCTAACCTTTCCCCAGGTGGGACTTCCTCCTTCCATCCAAGGATCAAACATTCTGGTGTTGGGCCAAGGCCAGTTCCAGGGCCAGAGGGGAGCGGGCAGTGGCGGCTGAGCCCCGGTCCTGCATGGGCCTAAAGGTCAGGCCCGAGAGAATGGCCCCTTGGTTACTGTGGGGGCTCCCCAGGCTCTGGTGTCTAGGGGTAACTCTTTGTCAGGCACTGGCTGCTGGGTACCTTTTCCTGTTGGTGTCTGGGCCCTGAAGTCCTGGTGGTGTTGGGGTGACCTGAGTGCTGACCATAGTTCTTAGAAGGACTTGGCAGGTGCTGGTACATGGCTCCTGGGCTCTGGATGGCACTGTAGAGTTGGGCCAGTACTGAAGCCCTGTCCCTGGCCCTCAGTTGGCATGGTGGGCACAGGAAGTGGATGGGTGGTGTTGTCACGTGTGGTGTCTGCCGCATGTGTCTGGGTAAGTGCACATGGGTTGTCCCACCATGTCCTCAGGGTGTCCCCACAGTGAGCATGGGAGCTTGTGGGTGCTGTGGGAGCTGCTGGAAGGAGTGAGGGCCTCAGAAGTGCCCTTCCCTCGCCCTGGGAGAGTTGGACAGGGCCTTGGAGACGTTTGGGCAGTGGACAGTGGCAACAGTGCCCTTGGCAGCTGTGTGTGGACTGGGGGGTGGGCCATACCAGGGGAAGGTGCTTGCCTGCGCCCAGTTCAGCCATTCTGTGGTCATGGTTCACTCTCCCTGTCCTCTGGCCCTGGTAATACTGACCTTGGGAACTCAGAGGGAAGTTCCACAGACCCTGCAGGTTCCCAGGGAGGGAGCCCTCCCCATCCCCTGGCCTTGGAGCTTGCCTTTGGGAAGGAGAGAAAGTTCTGGACTTGATGTTGGTGATGGTGGCACTGTGTGGTGGATATGTGGATGTGCTGCACGCCACCGATCCCTGCGTACAGAATGAGGGAGAAGGTGAATCTTAAGAGTCAGAGATAGATCTTCCACCTGCTGGCTCGTTTCCCAGCTGGCGCCAGCAGCCAGCACCGGGTCAGGCCATAACCAGGAGCTTCCTCCAGGTCTCCCAAGTGGCCTCAGGGACCCCTGCACTTGGTCATCGCCTGCTGCCTTTTCGGCATGGTAGCTGGAGCTGGATTCGAAGGGGAGCCAGTGGCACGTGAAGGAGAGAGAGGAAAGAAAACAGCTTCTAGGCCGCTGTGGAATGGACCACTGGTGTCCTTGGGGCTGTATGGCCGTGTCAGCTTGTCTGGTTTGCCCACGGGGCCGAGAATTGTCGGGTGGGCATGGCTGTATATCCAGGCTGGGAGCCCAGAATGGGTCCATGCTGGTGCCATTTGGCAAGTGGATCGAGCTCTGGGCATGAGTGGAAAGGCCCCGTGGCTACCCTTTGTATGAAATGCCTCGCATATACAAATGTGGCCTGGCAGGCAGTGCGGGGATTCCCAGGTGCAGCCCTAGGGGTGCTTGGATGAGGTGACTGGAGGCAGAGCTAAAGGTCCTGTCGTCAGGGGTGGCTGCCTGGAGTGGAGTGGGGCTGGCTTAGGGCTGGGTCTTAGCAACAGCTGCACTGTCCTGCTGGGATGAGCTGGACTGGTTCCAGGTGGTGGAGCCTGCTTTGCTTCCGTGCTCAGGAGGCTTGGCCTGTCTCTTGGGCAGTGTCGCCTGTGCCCACATTGCACCCTTGTCCTACCATCTCCTCCCTGGCCGTGTGACGGTGTTGGAGTGGAGCAAAAGCTTTCCGGCTTTGACATGAATTTCCTGGCTGAAGGAGAACCCCAGGACTCTGCTCCCCCAAAAAGGTCTGATGGAAACCATAGTGGCAAGGGAGAGGGAGGAGAGAGATCAAGCGAGATCAAGAGTGAGGACAGGGAGGAAGGATAGAGAACAAGAGAGAGATGAGACAGAGAGAGGAGACAGAGCAAGACAAAGAGAAGGAGGGAGAGAGGACAGACAGGAGAGATGGGGGCAGGAGGGGTGCAGGTGGGAAAAAACAGAGAGAGGAGAGAAGAGACACTGAGTGGGGAGAGAAACACTGGGAGGTGCCGTCCCTGCTGGGTCAGAGTGTAGGGGACAGCTGGTCCCAAGCCTGCCTCTGAGCAGTGTCTGCAGGCCTGCACACTCGCCTGCAGGGACACGCGTGTGCAGCTCAGCGTGACCATTGGTGGTGAAAGGTGCAGATGTGCTGTGGAAAGGTTTTGGGTCTCTGGGCATCTCCCCCGTGCTCCTCCTTGACCCCACTCAGTGGATTTCGTCCTTTGCTAGACTCCTCTCAGCTTGAGCAGACCTGCCGGTGACAGTGCCCACTCCTCAGGTGGTCACCTGTTGACCCTATCGGTACAGGTGGGGACACCATGTACCCAGGCGTGTGGCTGCCATGGCTGGGGTGGGGCTGGCTCCTGCCCAGGTGTGTGGCTGCCGTGGCCAGGGCAGGGGTGGTGTGTGCCCAGGCATGTGGCTGCCATGATGGACTTTTCCCTGATGCCTTCTTTGTGCCCACTGGTGCCCATCTTCTCCCCCTGGTGAAGGCAGCAGTGGTAGCAGCAGTGTAGTGTTGTGTGGGCCGTGTTTCCTGCTGGCTTCTTTGTATTCCTGTGGCGCGCTGAGCGCTGGCGAGCAGACGTTAATCACAGAAGGTCAGGGTTGCCCCGCGGTGCGGGCCGTAAATGACAGGAGGGCAGTCCTGCGTCAGTCACCGCGTCGCGCTGTGTCGAGCCCAGCCTTACCGCCTGCTGAGCTCGGCTGGCGTCTGCTGGCACTGCCACTGACACGCTGTCACTGGGGCAGACGCTGCCTCATTTGCACCAGGAGGCTTCATTTGCATGGCTGGCTGCTCCGGCTGCGTCTTCCATGGCTGAGCCTGCAGGCTTGCTGGGTCTGCCGCGCCGAGGGCCACCTGGAGCCTGTGGCCTGGTGTCTCTGCTCCTGTCAGCTCCCTCCTGGGAGAGCTGCCCGTGTCTCTATAGAGCTGGGCAGAAAAGCTTGGCTAGGAACAATTTTGTGGCTGACCCTGCCAGTGCACTTGCTCAGGGGTAGGAGGTATGGCGTCCCTTGGATTCCCTTGGCCAGGGAGGGACTTTGCTGTGCCTGGTGGCCATGGTGAGCAGTGGGAAGGACCCTGCTGGCTGTGAGGGACCGAGGACACCCACACTCAGGGCCTGGCAGCCGTCACACACAAACACCACGACCTGTTTGGGTTGATTCCATGAGTGATTGTGTCCCCTTATTGCCACACAGGGTCACAGCCTGGCCACCACTGAGCCACAGACACCAGCTCTGTCCTGGCCTTTGAAAAGTGAGCTAGTAGGGCCGACTGGATGGCTAGGTCAGGTCTCCCCTGGCCTGCTGGCCCTGTCCTGGGGAGGGTGTTTGGATGGCCGAGTTGGGTCAACCCTGCCCCACTGGCCCTGTCCCTGGGGAGGGGTCTGGATGGCCGGGCCGGGTCTCCCCTCTTCCCTGCTAGCCTAGCCAGCCTTGTCTGATCCTGCAGCTGGACACCTAGACCTCCTTGACTGCTACTGATTTTGCCTGAGCTGGTGTGGCGGGTCCACCTGTGCTGCTGCTAGCTCGCTGCGTGCATGTGTGCCTGGGAGTCTGCGGCTGGGCAGAACTTGCTGCCATCCTCACTAGGTGAACCATGGCTGTGCTCCACAGGGGAGTCAGAAGAAACACCGATGGCTTTGTGACCTTTCCATATCATGAAGCCCAGGAAGGGGCTTTGGGGTCAATGGGGAACCCGGGGCTCTGGGATCCATCATGTGTCCATCCATCATCCCAGCTTACTGTGGGACACTCCCAGGTCTCCTGTAACTTCCACCACAGGTCACATCTTTGGGGACAGACTCCAGTCTCTCGTGGAGACCACGTGTGCAGTGAGTGCCGCCCTACACCAGGATGGTCCCTGGGGCGTGGCTTCGTGCACAGTGGGTGTCCATGTTTA